CACAGGTCTTCCTTGTTGATGGAACTGCGGCTTGGTGTTAAGAACTGCATCTGCAATCCCTTAAACCCATCAACACATTCTAAATCACGGAGCAGCTTGAAATTACAAAATGTGGTTACCCATCCTATGACTGGACATTTCGTTTTCATATCGCAGGCTGAATGCCCTAATCTCTCCGCTACAAATATAATCCTCCGCTTTAAATATATTTTAATTAATTTGAATAAGGTTAACCTATCAATGCTGGTCAGTTAAATTCTAAAATGCGTTTATTGGCATAAAAAATAGCATCTATACCATGAAGTCACCCAATTTTTAAAGATAATTTCTGTTACTGAACTTTCAAACGTTTCTTACATTACTTTTACTTGAAATATTTTTGCTTTATCAAATATATCTAATGCGTTTAATTCCAATGGGGTCTCAGCTTAAGGCGGATTTTAAATATATTTAAATGTAAATTTCATCAATATATGTTTATTAATCTAAAGTAATAACTCAACACCCAGACCCAAACAATACAGACAAGTTGATTTATTACAATAATCCAGCTGGGAATAGTACCCAGGGCCACAGAGGTGGCGCTACAACTCGCTAAAGCTCAGTAAAACTATCTCGCGTCCAATGAGTTGTTTATACATATTTTTTTTCATTTTTTTGGGTACAGATGATTGTGATAACCTTATTACTAATGACCGTAATTAAAGGCATTTGTTAATCAATGATGTAATTCAATCTATTTAGTCTGTGGTCGTTTAATGAAAGGTAAAATTAGCAGATCAATTCCCACGATCATGTCTTAATGTTACAGCTTTACAGTACCCTAAAATCTATTTGTGAGTTACGCACACGTAACACTTACTATCTCTAGTATGTTGCAATAATGTCGTAAGTGAGATTTTTAACTGTTTAATTATATAATTATGCAAAAAAAAACGCAATGAGAGTTTTGGAGCGGAAACTTTGAGATCTCATGAAATTCGTGAAAAACCGACGTTTAATAATGGTATTATGCAATAATTACCAATTTATATATCCATTGTGGCCATCAACGGGGTTAATTATGATGTGTGCGCTATTGTTACATATATCTGACCAAATTCATTAAACTAACATACTGTCGGTTGTCAAAGAAGGTTGTCACGCGATCAAAGAACTGATTTTATAGGAAACAAATTAAATTTTTGTTTACATTTTAAGCGGTCGGAAAAAGTAACAATATTTAACTGAGTATATATAAATTAAATGATTAACTAAAAATCATAAAAAATACACGACTCTTAAAACTATATTAAGACATTTATCGTGATAAATAAATTCACAAAAAAAAATAAACAAAGTAAAAAAATAAACACATCGAAAGTAAATATTGTTATCACAAAGCGTAACTTCGTTTCAATGAACTTTTCAAAATGAAAGCTATTTGTTTTTATTAACTTTGGTGCAATAATAAATCTAGTAGTTCTGGTAAATCATTATTGCACTAAATTAATTAGCTTACTTAATAAAAAGATTAAGTTATTACGTGCTACTGCCAAGTTCATTGCAATGGATTTAAGTTAAGAATTTTGATAATTACTCCGACTACATGCCTTCTTCTTTGATAAATATTACAAGTCTTTCGATTGTGTTTCCTGAGATCTTCAAAAATCGTAATACTTTAAGCAACTGACACAAAATCTAATTTAATGTGTAACAAACTATAAATTATATAAATTTTAAAATAAAACAATTTCCAATAGGTTATTGGAAATTTTATGAATTAGTGTATTAATGCACGTAGACAAAGAATTAATTACTATAATATATAAGGGTTGAAAGTGGGGGCTGAAGTTTAAAATTTAAATATTATTCATTACATTAAAAAGTGTCCTGCTGCAGAAGAAAACAATATTTGTAACGATAAGTTTGAAGTTATTTTAATGCATAAACTTTTTACAGAATCACCAAAATGTTTTGTTACCCATGAGAACCGGTTAGGAAACACGTGCGTCTATGGTGCAATGAACAACCAGCTGTCAAAACTAACAATGCGACGCGCTCTGTGCGAATGCTAATTTCTATCAACAGACTGTATCATCATATCACACATGGAATGGGAGAAAGAACACTGCCCGCGGCGCAGTCGCTCAACACGCGCAATTCGATATGGTCAACTCTATTTGTGTACACGTGCTCTAATAAGCTAAACCGAAACACCGGCATAAAAAAAACAAACGTCAAACTTTTGGCGCGCTAATTTTGACAGCTTTTACGCGGCCATAAACTATAGTGGTGTATTATCGAAACAAGTTTCGTGAAGGAAAGTGAATTAACATTTTTAATAAAACGTCGTGTGAGAGTGAATGTGAAACTATTGTTGCGTAATACTACTTAAAAAAATCTTCAACACATTATCAGACATTAAATCATTTGGTTTTTCATTGAGTGTTGTGGTCATCTATATTGATTAATTATGGTATATACAAAAATAAACTCCGTGTTTTGAGCCGTCGCTAAAATGTTATTGCGGTTCGATGCACTTTTTGCCCTACAATGTGTATTGGAGTTGTTTTTTCACGGATACGCAGTATACAATAGCTTATATGGGAAAATTGGCTCGTCTGGTGTTGTCATGTAGAAATTTCTCGGAAAAAGTTGGGAATTGATCTACACACGGGTTCATGGTCGTAATTATTGCCTTTCATTTAAAGCGGCAATTAGCTTTATGTTAACGTAGTCAGCTCTTACTTTATTTGCATGTGGATAGTCATGGTTTGGGCAACGCATACATTAGTCGAATGTATTAAGAATTTAATAATCTAGATGAAATTGTATTCATTAATGCCGGTGCATGGTGGTTCATATTAGAGGTGCTATAAGCGTTTAGCAAAACAGACACCACATTCATTTCATCTGGTACTAAATATTGGGCTATAAAAATGAAGTTTGAAGTTTTTTCTTTTATTAAATTGAGGGATTTTGTAAAGTCTGCATACACGCCAGTTCCAATGTGATGGCAAATTGCTAAGCTTTTTACAGGATATATTTTTTGCTATAAAATTTTCTAAATCAATAAGTGTTATCGACAACAGGGCATGAACTGTAGCTTTATTCGATAAAGAGCGAGATAAAATATTTTTACGACACAGATAGAAGACATTCGGCATTTATAAAACGGTAGTCTCTTGCATACTCTATGAGCACATAAGCACGTAAAATTACGTATATTATGAGGTGACAAAAGTCAAATTCAAATTAAAAAATATTAAAAATCAATAAACTTATCAATAGTGATGTTCTCGTCAAGGTTTAAATTCATACAGGAATTACCAGAATAATTTGATATAAGCGGATATCTAATTTATGAAAGTGCAAGTCGAAAGCTTAAAAACAATCTTATAATGTATACTCGATGATAAAATCTGATTAGATATACTAACTACTACTTTTCGTCTGGATACGAACATTCGAATTTTTTTTCATTAATTAATTAACCCCACATTACCCATTATTGCTGTTATATTGAAAGTGTACATGCAATTGCATGTTTAAGTTCGTGTTCTATTATAGATTCAAGATCCATTGTGATTGATTATATTTGTCAGCATTACAAACAAGTCTATCGGAGACTTTCGGTATACTGTATATTGTGGAATAAAAAAAAAGCAGTAAAAATGTGATACAGCGTGAACTGCGTGAACGCAGTGATTATTTAATAATCACTGCAAATAAATAAATAATAGAACTTTTTAGGTAACTCCCGATAATATTCCCGAGTTATAGTTATTCAGACCTAAACAAGGTGAAAGTGAATAGGTTACTTAAGGGTAAGCTCGTCCTACTACAGAACTAATTCATGTCCTTAGGCATGATTAAGATAAAGAGTTATTATAAATAAAATAAATAGTTTTGCAATCTGTACACATTATTTGTTACAAACATATGAGCCTAGATTTAGATCAATATGTATATGTTTGATATTTATATACATATAACAACATAATAATGTTGTCTCTTATTACGCAAAATTAATAATATAAAAAATATATACATAATCTAATAAAGATGAGATTATCTGTATAATAATATATTGATATTCCCTTTACTGTTGCTCAATTAATAAATATTATCAGCTAGTTGTTAAGTTTCTGCTTATGAAAACGCATAAACATATATCATTTTTAGTTCAGTCAGCGACATTATAGTAATAAATATGAGCAAGCCTTATCTTGAATCAGTCGCGTGATGTGTTGTGTTCCTACACAATTAATGAGTATGATGCATCGCACACCTAATTACGTTGACTATCGGAAAGTGAAGTTTTTCTTTAGTGGATATAATTGCGCTGGTGGACAATTACGATGCGACGGTATGCGCCAAATAAATGTCTTTACGGGGATAATGAATGTAGCAAGGAACCATGTTAGTATTAAAAAAGAGTTTCTATGTTCAGAAATAGAAACTAAATAAAATCCAATGTAATCAGATATTATGGTAGCACAGATAATAGAGTATTATATTCGGATATTAAATATCGGATTTCAAATCGATGTGAATGATTCAGTAACAATTTTTTGGCTATCAAATGAACGAAGATAAATTTAATATCCCTAGACCGGTTAATAAGATCGCAAAATGCTATATCAACATTCGTTATTTTTAAAATAATTGAAGCCTAAAAGAAGTTTCGAAGATTAGTATACGCTGAATAATTAGTAAGCAATATGAGTTAAGTAAACGATATACAATCGTCATTCATTCATAAATGATATTGATACTGAACCAAACCATTTTTTAAAGATATTAGTCTAACATTTAGCTACGGCTTTCAAGACACGGTCACATTTCGGTGTTACATAACCGAAACGTAACGCGAACGCGGAAGCTGCCGCGTCACTAATTAAAACACGAAATTCCTCTACATTCTAGCAGACATATTTTCTGTACTCTTGCTTAGTAGTGACAGTTAAGTAACGAGAAAAATAACCTTCGAACACACCAAGAGATGTGTTGAGAAGATGCCTAGAGAACGGCCGCGAGACGACGGCTGCAACGCAATAGCTAGACTGATAAAGGACTTGTGCAGTTGTTCAGAGAACGGAGCGTGGTCGCCAGATATGACGTCAGAGAAGAGGAAAGATCCCCTGCTGAAGAGCGAGCTGACCAATATGTCGGCGATGCGGCGACGCATCATGACAATAGCCAAACGGAAAAACAGGGAAGTCATCCAAGACCCGCCTAAAGTAAACGACAAGGCCCTCGAGAAGAAAAGTGAAACGCTGACTTCAAATTTAATCAATACTACAATTAGTTCTCAGAGTAGCACGCTTAGGAGAAATATTGATAATTTTCTACTATCACGCAGAATGTTCGCTTTAGAAGAAGATATTTACGAGAAGCCTATACAATACACAATTAAAAATTCTACATGTGGCGAGAACTGGTCGCTAAGTAAGGCATGGAAGAATAACCATAGTGATTTCTTCAATCGCTCCCCGCTATTGGATTCTGAACGTCTAATAGATCGGAGTTGTACTCAACTGGAACGGATAGATGAGATGCCAAAGAAAAAGAAACGGGATAAGAAACTGAAAGAGCAGATACGTTACGATAGGAATATAAAAAGGCACATAAGGATAAGGGTGATGCTGTCTTTGAGGATGAGAAGGTATATGAAAAGAAGAATGCGGAAGCCACTACAGCTGTCCCAAAACGTGAACGTGCCTCCGAGGAGGTTTCCCAGAGGCTCATCGACCACATCCAGTTTTGGTACCAGGTCTTACAGGAGTGTTATGACGGACAAACTTGGTGATGGTGCAGTGTTATTTGACATTCATGAAGCGAGAAATTCGACTCTGGAGCTGTGCCACGATTATGAAGAAGATCTCGACACGCTAGAGATCGCCTTACGCGCCGGCAATTTTAGGTAATAAACTCATTTCACTTTTAATGTTTCAGATAATGCTTCTAAGTGTAATCGAAAGTGTAATTGTTCTTATGATTATAACGATAAGCTTTTCCATAGCCTTTACCAATTATAAAATTCAAATAAGCCAAAGGCATAATCTTGACAATCGCTCACCGTCTTATTATAAAAGAAGTATTAAAGTTATTAGGTAATTGGTTTAAACCATTAGCCGCTTAAATCAAAGTGACAATAACAGAAGACATAACATCAAAATGGAACTTGTTGACTTATTGTACTTTTTGTTGGATAAGGGTTATATAGTCAGTGTTTGTTTTATAATAAGATGGTTGATGTTTTAAAATAACTTTAAGCCGCATCTTAAAGTTAATAGTGTTGTTACAGCTAATTTTATTTATTATATTAGATCAATTTCTTGTTTACACATAAATTTTCACAATGTTGGTGACTGCTCTAACCATTGACTATCCGAGGCTTAAAAGAACTGGAAAAAAATTTAAAGCATTTGTTACTTACAATTATTAGTTGACCTCAGATTTTATAGCACATACGGTTGCAGGCCAGGCTACCAAAATATGTCAAATTATTAAAGTTGATTTCAAACCTATTTCTACCCTAAATATATTAAAGTTTAAAATTAAGTGGAGAAATTTAACATATTTGTAAAGACCGACGTGCTGTTGAGTGTACATAGTATTAAAGATTATTTGGAATTTTATAATTATTCACAGTCGTGGTCTCGTGATTGTTTCGATGGGATACAAGGTTATGGATACTAACCATTTCTTCTTCGGACATTTTGACTCGAAACTCTTCTTTAACTATCCAAGAGATGAAAAATGTAGTCGATAAGACTACTTCTTCTATGATCAGACTACAGAATAAGTAAGACAGTTAATTACAGTAGTTATATATTATTGACATTCTTTAGGTATATAAGAAAAAATGTTCCATTTAATGCGAGTGATTGTAGTGAATAGTTCTCAAGCGAGTATATTTCAATTATTATTAGGTACGACTATCATTAAGAAGTCTATTTCGTTAAAAGCCTATAATCTTTTAATTTATAAAATGAGATGTTCCGACATACTGACTGACAGATTATAGAGACAGCCTAAGCCACTGGTCGTAGAGACTTTAAATTTAGGGGGGTACATTCGTCTTATGACGTTAACGTGGACTAGAACGGATTTTTGGAAATAGCAACCATTGCATACAATTTGATTTGTTATTATAATAAATCTATGTAATATTATTTATAAAGATTTTCTTATATTGTGAAAATTGGTATCTGAGTACATAATTCATGACAAAAATAACATTTCTAAACATATTCAATTACAAATCATTTTATAAACGTAAGTCATTTATTGTGATAAAATGGTTGAAATAGGGCTTAAAAGTTTGAATGGAAGTTCGATATTGTCAAAGATAAAATCATGAAACTTTATATTTAGGTACGAATAATGTTTGTTTTGGTGTTTTTATAAATACCGTCAAAAGTAACTATAACACGCTGGCGAAGTCGCGGGTAAATGCTAGTAATATAATATTAAAAAATGCAAATCTTTTTGGGTGGGTTAGTTTAGTTGCAAAATTTTTGTTTCACTTTAAAAAATTTTGAAGTCGTCATGTCATGAAAAATACTTGAACTAAGTTAGTTGTCCATTGTTATACTGACGTAGTGTATAATAAAGTATGTCAGGCCAACAATATTTGGCTACTAGTTCATCTGTTTATGATGCATGGAAGGTCAATAGTTGGGTACGGTCAGCAGTATCACTAAATTTTTGTCTCTGGATTTTTTTATGATACACTAACATTATTAATCGGAACATTTTTGAGTGTTTGTAATTTTTAAATAAAAAAACTATTGGTTTAATTTCAAAATTATATTACCGCTATAAAGTTACATTATCGATATTTGATTTATTATAAAAGCAGCGTAAAACTTGAGGGATATCGTAGAGTTGTAGTTGGTATGCCTCTGAATTTTGAATAGTTCCCTTTTATTAATACATACATTTGCTGACTTGCGCTAGAGAAGATGAGAGGTTTTATATTCGTCGAAATATTGCGGGGCCCATTTGAAGATAATAAACAACGTGAAAACAAAGTTTATGTACTAAGTTATTATTGGTCGTTCTTTCGATGGGTTTATTTATTCGTGATCTGAATCACCAGTGTTATCCAATATTTATTATGTACTCGGTCTACTGGACTTATTCTCAAATATTTACGTTGGAACTTGGAAACAAAACATAAAAGAAATCTGACGTAAAAGTACAATTCTATAAAAAAATATAGTTATCTATCGACTCATCTTTAACCGCTTTGGAGGCTTTTAAAATTTTGTTTTTGGTTTGAAAAGATGGATAACCCATTCCGATTTTATTAGTATCTCATATAGCCTCTTTAAAAGGGCAGTATTTTTGTCTCTCCTGAAAATATGGATACTTTCACATATAAGATGTTGAAAGTAAAACGATGATATAATAAAGGTTTTTGTCGACGTTGTTTTTCTCATAACTTGAGATAAAGGCATTATTCCATATATGATGTTGTCCATTAATCACTAGATCTGAGACTAGTGAATAATTAAAGCATTTTTCTACATGACAATACTGTTTTGTTTTTGTTGACCGTAGTTGCGTTGAAACAGCCGAACTCTGTCACCTCCGGATGGACGTGTACTGTACCGTGACGTGTATTGTTGCTGACCCTACGTTTAAATACTAGGCTGTGTGTCACGCCGGTAAAAATAATAAGGATATCATACCATATGAAATGTTATATGATGTGTCCAAGTAGGCTCTAAATTCACATTACCTGTATAAGTGTATTTTTCTTTCCTAAGGTCCACTCTCTGAAATTTACGTAAATGCTGCCGTAGAAAAAGAGTTACAATTTAGATAGGTTAAAAAATATACCTACTTTTGTACAGTAACCTAATTTGCAGTTCCTAGTATAGGTACCACCACTGTACAAGCTATCTTTATTAGTAAATATGAACAGTTTCTTATATACCGATCATGAACATACTCATGATTATGGCTTCTTTTTTGTTTAATAAATTACGCATTTACAATATTGATAATATTCTTAAAGAAAAATGGAATCGTGAAAGGTTCGAATTACATCGCGTTATAATATAGAATAAATATTATAATAAGCAGGAGTTTGATTTATAAAAGTCTCATGAAACTATAATCAAATAATTATGTATAATATTTACGCGATGAGACTGTCCAATGGTACATTCTGTATTTATTGAACATATTATTTCTATTACTTAGTCATTGTTTATTTTTATATCATCTGCAATAAACGACGTGAATAAAATTGATCTACGAACTACTACCGAGTAGAAATCTAACAACAAATTGTAACACGCACGCGGTGCTCTAACAATAAATTTTGTTCACTTCTGTATACTTTTCATTTATTTTTAATTGATAATGTTAACGTAGAATTTTAATTTATCTTCATCGTATCACATTTCGGAATGATATTTGAAAACGTAGGTACTATTAAAAGTATTTAACATGTACTGAATTTAATATTTTGTTATAATTATCAGCGAATTACTTACAAGCTGTGGCTTAATTGGATTGAAAATCTATTGAAGTATTATAGTTAGAATCATCTTAGGAACACCGACTCATTAACTTTAATTTACGTATACAATGCAAATTGATTAGATGACAATGCACATTGTTTAGATGCCAAATTAAGTAATGATCTCGTGATATTAAAATCTGAAACGAAGTTGATAAATCATCTACCTACACCCGAAATAATAAAGAAATCGGGAATCGAATCCTCATTAGGAACTGCAGTCCAACCGCTTAACTCTCGCGCTATTTTATTTAATCCATTACTTTGTAATTTTCTAGTTTCTGATTACTGTTGTTTTCTGAATTATATAAAGTTTGATTAAATTATAATATGTTAAATTCGAAAACTTCAAAAGCAATTTTTGTCATTTAATATGAAAAAATTAAAAACCATTCCTCATATTAACATATATAACAATATTAACATATAATATATATTGATAAAATCAATATAATGTTCTAGAGTAAGTCCACTGATCCTGGACGCACTTCAATGGCGTTGCAACTAATAGTTTTTGCCTACAGCTCTATCTACCTGGCGTCATATATTATTAGTACAATAGCGTGTTGATGGATCAATGATGACAGATTCTTTTGTTGTTATCAACAAATATATAAAAAAAATCTTAAAAAATAGAACCGACTTCAAACTTTAAAAAGTGACAAATAGGCTTATTTTAGTAACGACTTGTTCAAGAAATTGCTATTGAAGTCAGGCGGAGCTTTTCTGTAGATTATTAATTAAATAAGATGTTTTTCTTTCAATACAGAGGAAAAATTTGATTGCTTGTTTGTTTGCATTGGATTAGCTGCGAAACTACTGGACCGATTTTATATCTTTTAATTTTATTTCTTTTTACATACGGTAAGCTACATAATAAGCGAATAACGTAGGCAATACGCAGGCGGAGTCACGGGGATACTAGTTCGATAGGAATGGGTTCACAATTGAAGAAGAACTCGATGAACAAACATACATAGAATAACATAGAAATTCCTCCTTTCCGAATTTGAATGAATGGTAGGTTTTTTCGCTGATATTAACATATCATCAATGTAATCACGTGATATCTGATGAAAAATATATTTTTTAATGCAGTTGCTCATAAAACGCTATTTTTTTAATCCATTGTAAACACCGAAAGTGTCTTTAAACACGTGTTAAATAAAAATGTACTGAAATCCTTTACTGCACGTGTTTCAAAGTATATTTTAAATTTTTTTTTGGCCGAGCACCAAAGAAATTTAAAAAAAATTGATGAAAATATGTCAAACTTTAGAGGCAAAAGTATTTCAAGGAGCCTAGAACGAATATTTTCAAATAAAAATGTATGACACGAAAACATGTTCAAATATCACGTTTAATTTTGACAAATAATTTTTACCTTTAATACATACTTAGTTTTATTAACCTATATATTTGTTTTATTTCCTCGCAAAAAGCATTGAAAAATGTTGTAAGAAACTTGAGCGTAAAAGGTTTTTCGAATTCGGGCCAATGATCAATTTGGCTCTTATTCGTAAAACCTTACTTTCCGCACTCGTATCTTAAATAATTATTATGTTGTTATACAAAGTAAACTACTGATTCGTAATAAAAAAAAACTCGAACAACATATAAGTATAACCATAATCTTATAATGCTTAAATTATTTCGGAGTAGGCCTCGTATATATATGATTAGTACGTGTGTATTCAGTGCTCTCGGTTCATTGGCCACGAGATGATCATCGGCACAAAATTCCAGTACACAAGTATTTTTTCCATAACCATTCGATTACGTTGACTTTACAAATATTTTTTTTTTGCTAAATGCAGATCGATTACCGCATCCCCTTGTATTGTAAATTACATCCCCTTAATCAATTGTATTGTAAATAAAAAAAACCTTAACCATAATTGTTCGTTAATACAAATATCCAATTCTTGTTCTATAGTAATCACGCTTATATATCCGATTTCCAGAACTGCACAAATAGAGGAAACAGAAAGCAAACGTCCAGTTCCACTTTTCAATAAAATTGATATTGGTTAAATTTTTAAATTTAGAGCATTCATAAGAACTTAAAGTCATTAAACCTTAAACATTGTACAACTGGATGGAAATGGCTTTATGTTTTTAGGACTCAATACGCACTCACTAAGATCTGACAAGTTTCTTGGGGGTAGTGAAATAAAAAAGCTTAGTAAAAATTTTGCAATTTTCCGTATTTGGTAAATTTTACTGTTATTCTAGATCTCTAAAATATTACTTTTCTTAATTTATTACTAAAGTTTAAGTATGAAAGACATTTCAATGCAAAGTTATAATAGAATTATATAAACATGAAAAATAATTATTGTTATAAAAATCATCAATTGTCTGACTACAATGAAATATACATATAACATCTTTAAACTGCAGATTTTAATATCATATCTAGAGTTTATATTAGATACGATCGAAATTATCTGTATACTGATTAAAATATATTAAGTTGATTGAAAAAATGCCGAAAATATAAAAAAAAGCTATTGTATAAGAAAGGTTTAAGCATTGCATAATATTGTTTTGGTTAAACCTTTATTTATGCATTTCAATCGTTGCATTTGTGAGGTTTGAGAGCTTTTACTATCGATTGACCATGAGGTCGAAGTCGGTTGAGTAACTTCATAGACTTTTTAATACGTATTTCATTTGGGACAGTTTGTATAAACGTAAGTAACAAATGACAAAATAATGACTTTATTAAGATGTGATAAGTTTTATAATGATTCATACAACGATTTTCGTTTAATAACCTTGACCTTTTTTATAATAATCATTGGAAATCAATAATTCTCAGAGTTGATTAAAAGATAAGGTACAACGATATTGACGCCATAAAAATTGAAAAGTTGATGAAATTGGAAAACTGTGAAACTAACATATACATTCAGGCTCGAAACAATTAAAGAATTTCCTTATTTGTAGTATTTAAAATTGTTCATTGTCGAATAAACTTCATAATCAGATCAACACATGAAATTCATTAATTACTTGAAATAGACTGTGTGTGTTGTTTATGTAAATTTAAATTAAGAACGGGGAGTTAATCTTGACATTTAAAGTGATAGATGTGCGATATTTTATTAGCATCTTTTCTTCATAAAATGTGCTAATTTGTATAATTAATAGTATTATACATCATAATGTTACACATATTATTTATATTTATCCTAAATTACTTTTACCATGTAATGGCCTAATATTTATTTGTAGGTTGGTATATCAATTAATTCTAATTGAAATAATTCTGAATTTTATATACTGTTACGATTTAATAATGTGGTGTAGCGGTGCCATCTAGCGTAGAGTGGCAACATGAAAATGTTACCCATTGCCTTCGGTCATTTGAATGCAGGAGCATATATATTAGTTTAGCTACGCGGCGCTAGATGGCCGTCATTAAGAAGTTTACGCGTTCACGCGTTGATGTCTTTTCTATCGAAATGTGTTTTTTATGAAAATACCAATGTTTCTTAGGTAATTAAAAAAAAATGTGTTAGTAGAAAAATGTCAATTCTATTTATATTTAATGAATTTCATATCTCAGGGTACCTGGGGCTGGTTTTTAAGCGTTTTTCATTGAAGATAGTTATAAGTATAGCAATAAGAATGCAATACTGTTAAATACAATGACGATTCTATTGTTATATTTTCGTGTATACTATGTAAAAGAAATTATAATAAGAGTGTTTGTCGATAATATTTTAAATAAAATATATAATATTTTTCTAGGAGCGGTCGGCTAGCTGTCGAGGGTTGGTGGTGCGGGCGCGCGATGCCTGCGGGCGGCGGGCGCGCCAACAACGGCGCCCTCGCGCTGCACTACGCAGCGGCGCGGGGCTGCCTCGACTGCGTGCGTCTCCTCGCCAACACCACGCCAGACGTGTCGTGAGTACTCACACCGAATGATAAGTTATTATCATAAACAAAACACTACACAGCGGCGCTAGGGAGTATCGTTTCTAACACTATCTCCTGCTTATATATGTTCTTCTTTTTCGAACAGTCGCTGATATTAAGGGAGAACATCATTATCACCTTAATAAGCCGTAGTTAAGACCTATATAATTCCAGAAAAAGATCTACGATAATGTATGAACACATTATAACATTTTGGAAAACACACTATAGATATGTAAAAAAGCTATGAAATTATAACACGATAGAAGTAAAAATTAAATTTATATGTATCTCATCTAGGCCAAAGAATTAATCTGGATAGTTTATGTGTATCTGTGGTCTGGCTATTCAAAGAGATATCGAGACGCTTTCAGCTTTAACCCATTACCTGTTGATTTGGGGAATATTTTACATCTAATAAAGTTTTAATTCTATTCATAGCTTAGGTAGTCTTATCATTATTTACACTATTATATTATTATTATAAATCAGTTGTGCAGAACAGTTTTTAAATATTTATTTGCGTTTCTGAATAGCATGTTAAATAACTAAATGAACGTGAATATTTCCGAGTAGGATTCCCACTTCCTACATTCCGTCAGTAATCACGCGAAATCAACATAATTGAACACTATTGGCACTAAATTATGGGTTAGACGGTCACACGTCGTGTGCCACGAGACCACCAGACCACATGTTGTATTGGTCTCCGGAGTTTTTATCCACTTCGCTAACGTTACTTGATCGAATAACGGATTGGCCATCGCTCTATAGAGATTGATATGTTATTATGGGATTATTGCTCTGGAATACTCTGTTATAATTGATCATGCGTTACTTATTATGTTGCTTAATAATTATTCAGAATCGTACGCAATGAAAATGTAGTTGTTTTTTTGTTGTTGCGTGTTGTTCTAACTAATAATAAAAATGATTGTAATTATAACAGGATTGAATTTAACCATCCTAATGACATGGAATGCATATCTTTTGTAAAATATTTGATAGAAAACTAAATTAGCTACTTTGTTTACTAAAGGTGTTATTTCACTGTTGCGCAAGGAGACGGTGCGTATTGGCGTTTAACTACGCTTTGCATTAAGATTTGTGAGATGGGTGACATTCACTGGAATCCTTGACTTGCGTGATTTTACCTATGTAGCTTAAATATTTCATATTCATTTACAAGATTATACTGGCCCCCACACTAGGCTAGGCCTGACCTGTGGCGGGCTTTGTACCAGTTACAGTTACAGCACAACAACAGATACATGACATTCCCTACTTCATTACATTATATACTTAAACACTACATTATAATCAGCATTTTTTTTTTTATTCTACTTTTATAAGTAAGATCGTTATAGCTACTTTTGGATCCTCAACAGATTTTCAGTATCCTCATAGTCAAGTTCCAGAAGCTTCCCGGGCAACAGTACTTTTATTTCCCTGACCGATTTATTTTTAATTTGAAGGGTGTTAACAAGCTTATTGTAAATGTGTGGGAAAATAAAAGGTCTGAAACGCTGCGCAAAGGTAGTCTTGATCACATGACATGGTATCTTAAAAACTCTTTTTTCGAGTAGTGATTTATATTGGCTTTATGCTACAACTTCTTTGTGAACAGAAATTACTACTCGATATAAAAACAACTTCCTCACGCTCAGTACCCCAGCCTCATGATAGAGCGATATGGTCGGATAGAGTCGACTTTTGAAAAGAGCGGTTTTTAGCACCGCTCTTTGTGTACAATGAGAATACTCTTTAAAGTACCGCCCCAGGTCAAAATGCAGTAGTTCAGTATCGATTGACAGAGGGCCATGTACACCATTTTTAAAGTTTTACCATCTGTTACTTCTCGGAGACTTTTCATCACATGTATTATTTTTCTAACTCTTCCTGCCATAGCTATTATGTGCTCTTTAAACATAAGCCTTTCATCAATTAGCACTCCTAGGTACCTCAGGGTATCCGTTCTATGTAACTGTGCGCAACCACAAGGAGATATTATACTTTGAGAATGGCAGTAGTGGGCTTTGATTATGTTTAGGTCGGTGGGGGCTGAAACTAAGGTTTTGTGAAAACAAAGGAATTTTGTCTTAGACATATTAAGGGTTAAAATGTTCTTATCCATCAGCTGCAATATATGTCTTATACCGTCTTCAACGCTCCGTTTTACCAAATCCCAGGTGTTATCATGAAAAATTATGGCTGTATCATCAGCATAGCACAAAATTTCAGCATTAGGAATAATGTGAGAAGAGATTTCATTGATGTATATGGTGAACAGAATAGGTCCTAGGATACTTCCCTGGGGCACACCAAAAGTGACTGGTTTCGAACCACTTAAGCTATTATCAATTCTTGTTCGCTGTTTTCTGTCAGAAAGGTAGCTTTTAAACCATTTTAGAGCTGTTCCTCGAATACCAAGAGCCTCCATCTTCCCAAGGAGTATTGGAATGGAGACAGTGTCAAAAGCCTTGGTCAGGTCCAGGAAGACCCCTACGCAGCTTCGACCATTGTCGAGGTGAGATGAGACAATATCCGTTAACAGGGCGACTGCATCTTCTGTCGATTTGCCTTTACGGAAGCCAAATTGTCTGTTAGACAGTAAATTATGTGATTCCAGGTAATGCACCAGTCTCTTGTTTATGACTCTCTCCAATAGTTTTGAGAGGCTACTCAAAAGTGAGATAGGACGGAAATTGCTGGGATCATTTTTGGAACCGCTTTTGTATATAGGTATTATAACAGCTGTCTTCCACGTGTCTGGAAAGGTACCCGTAGAGATACTATGATTAAAGATATCTGCCAATGGACGTGAAATTAACCCTGCGACTGCCTTGAGAGTACCATTATTTATGTCATCTATACCAGGGGAACTTTTTGTGTCTAGTTGCTGTATTAACGCAAGTACTTCGTATTCGTTTGTAGGGTAAAGAAAGAAAGAATTAACTGCGCTGCTGTGCGCCTGGATTCTGGACGCAATGGATTCTTGTGTCACTTTTCATCGTTTCAAAATGGAGTTAGCCAAGTCACTGCCTATAGTGGAAAAATAAGAATTACATGCATCCAGAGATTCTGTCAGAGATCGATCATTTTTATTTATTAGTTCACTAGCAAAATTATTCGGCAGTGACGCAGACCGATGGGATATTTGATTTATCGCCTTCCATAACCTGTTTGGTCTGTTTAGATGTTTTTTTAATTCGTTTCCTTCATGTTCTTTCTTAAGTTTTCTGAGGAGCGAGACATAAAAGTTTCTATATCTTGTGTATACTAGTTTTTTGGTTTCATCTGTTGGAAATTTTCTATAGTCTGAGTGCAATTTATCTCTATGTTTTGAACATCTCAGGAGTCCAGGTGTCATCCAGGGCTTAAAGATAGTCTATGAGTGACTTTTATGAATAACTTCTGTGTGTTTTTTTATCATATCTTCTTTCTAATGATGTTGAGTGTCATTATAATTGCTAATATACACGCTCCACAAATATTTTGTATTTATTATGTGTAATGTATATAATTATAATAAAATGAGTGTTATGATTGTATTCCAACTGGGAACTATTAATAACTTGATCACAAAACTGAATTTCGTCTAATAAATTATAATATAAAATATGATCGATCTAAGCAAACGTTTGTATTATGTCGTAAAATTCGTCTAGAATCAGAAGATCCATTAAAATTTAGTATTAGTAACCAAGAAGTTCCCATGATTTACACAGAAGATTAATTACAATAAATTTAAAACTCGCAAATTATCTTTGACATAGTAATTAAGTGGTATGAATGAAATTCTCTGTAGAAAGCGTTACGGAGCGATACTCTCTTATCCGGCATCGCACAGTTTGCAATCTCGATGCGATCTGGCCACCCATTGGAATAACGCACGTTAACAGTGTTGCCAGGTATGTGGCAACGGTATATAATATATATACAGTTTGCAACAGCTTTATAATTCAATAAAATAATATTTAGCATATTAAATGGTAAACAAAATTTTAACTATATCGTATTAACAAACGAAGAAATAAATTTTTCAATAATCATAAATATAAGACTGCTACAAAGCGGTTTCCAAGTAAAAAAAAAGTTACATCATTAGTAGCGTCTGAATTACTCTTTGAATTTTGAGTTCTGGAAATGGTGCTTCGAGTTTTATCATTATTTTATTAGTTGTGATCTAAAATCTTTATACAAATTTAACTCATATTTTATTGTCCAGCATCTATCTGTCAATGTCTTACCCTCGTAACTATAGTCGAGAGAAATAATTATTTGAGTATATATCATTTTTTTTTTAATTTCATACTTAGTCTAATTACAGTTTCTAATATCTGGCAATATATAGACAGTAAATATTTCTGGGTTTAGTAAGTTAAACTGTAGTTATGTGGTTCCCATTATTTGTTTAAAAACATTTTAGTTTAATAACTGCCCTGATAACAGCCGCTCACTCACAATGGGTTAATTTAATTCAATTACATTACCGCAGGTGGTAAGTTTCGCAAGTCCATGAATACTTAAAGATTAACGGAGCGCTACGTTGTGAAAGATCCACTTTAAGGACTAGCGTGAGTGACTTTCGACAGTCCTTGTAATGAATATACGCTATTCTCGTAGATATATGAATGAATGCGTTGTCACTAATGTATGAGAACTTAAGGTAGAAATATCTAGTCAGTCAACTGATTCCCAATAGCAAAATTCAGTACTGTGGAAGTTTCAAGAACGTTTTCGCAAGTGGTAATTAGTATTCATGAATAGCACATAATTAATGTTGTAAGCGCTTAGAAAAATCACAAAGGCTCTAGTTGTATCACTGATTTATTGTAAACGCATAAGGGTTCTAAAAATGTTAAATCCGCTCGATAGTCGATATATAAGTATAAGCGCTGTGAAACCTTTTTAAGTACTAAAATATGATGCCAGTAAAACTAATTAATAAAAATGACAGAAATAATGATACAAATGGTAACTAATTAAAATTAATTGAAACTATTTTGCAAGTGTTCTTAGGTTTTCGAGTTTTAGACGAGAATATACAAAGATTTATAATGAAATACACGGACAGTTATTGGTGATTCTGAACTGCGATTCAATAGTTATTTGGTGATTCTTTCACATACATCGAATTTAATAATACTTATAGGATTGGAAGTTTGAGCTCAACGAATCGCCTTCATAAATTTAAAGACAGAAGCCATTTCGGTCTACTTTCCGATGTTTCGCATTAATTTATTAATAATAAATCTTTTGTTTTCGATTATTATTTTACAAAATTGTAATCTCCGAAAAGCTGTCATGCGATAATAAATGAACAAAAGACAACTTTATTTAATAGCTTGTCTCAAGTAACGGTGTCTTCCCTACATGTTGGAGAACACTATGAATTTACGTGATAAGCTTATTCGTAGCAAAGCATCTCGAAAGTCATCAAGTCAAAAAGTATTTCCTACTCTTTGAAAATTTTTATTTGACACTTATGAAACATGGAGATCGTTGAGTTAATTGACTTAACTGCCGTAGCTCAGACATCAGGTCCTTATCACTTCGACATGGAGCCCTTTTACTATCAGACAAAGCACTCATCATAATATTTTAAAATATAAGTAAATAAAAATACATCGCAGTATTGGAGTTGATATAGATGTTTAAGGAATTACTTATTCGTAATCATTATCAGTGTTATTAATAAACAAGGATTAGGGTTAAAATAAATTTACGCTGAGACTGCACTCAATATTAGTCAAATTTCATATTATTAAACATAGACCTAGCAAAGGTTTACCTAGTACGAGGTTCTAGGAGAGTTATTTATATTGCTAGAAGGTAATAGGTTTGCTTATTCTCTGTATAATATGAGTTTGGACGACGCAAAACCTTGTTTATTAATAGTACTGTATACGTTTAGCAAATATATGTACTATAATCTAGATTGTGAGTATGAACTTGCTATCGGGTTTAGCCTTCTGAGCACTCTAGCGTGAAGTAACCCAGAACAAAGTTTACTTATATAATTTAGATAAACTACTAATTAATTGATTAATCTCTTACTTAGTTATAAAATTGATTTCTTACTTTGAGCTATAAAATATAAAGTATAATAGAGTCTACTTAGTGTTTGTAAATGCAGGTATAATATTATTCTCTAATATTATTATTATATTAATTTAACAAAGTTTTTAATGAAAAAATCCACTTTGTCCCTTGTAGTCTGAGATGGGATTCGAACTCAGGAGCTTTCGCAATCACATCTCAAAATACCAGGGACAAACTGGATTTTTAAGCATTTTTCATAAGTATATTTTCAAATATAATAATTAACATAGTGTTTATTTTCCAGTATAGAATCAATCAAATATAATAATTAAACATAGTGTTTTTTGAATTCAAATACCTCGTTTGAAAAAGTAATATGACTATTTTTTTTTATATAAAATCTAGTTCATATGTTAATATCCTCGTATTAGATATTATGGAATAAAAACATATATAGTTTACTATATTTGATCAATTTCGCATATACAATGCTATACTGGAAAATATTCTTATTGAAAAACGAAATCCACTTCGTCCCTGGTACTCTGAGAACCTATGATCTTTGGCAATCTGGGTGACTGCTTTAACCAGCACGCGTAGCATGACGAACTCGAGAACGTTTTGTCTACACTCAAATGTCACTTTTCTCGGGTGCGCCCATACAACTTCTCACTCTCGACCCGAGAAAGTGACATTTGGGTGTAGACAAAGCGTTTCTCGAGTTTCTCAAGCTGGACCTAACAGGACTGACGAATTTTTCAAGCACTTGTTACTTTTTAGAGACTACAGAGCGTATTTTCATTAATGATCAGGCAATCCACCCAAACAGCCGGAAGAAATATTTTACCAATATTTTAAACTTACGTATCAAAGAAAGCGCGCAAGTAAGTAACTGATGCTACTGTTGAATCAAACACTGTAGTGGAAATGTAGCGGTTCAAATTGACTGATAGTTTGAAATCTTATTATAAGAAAACTAATTTACACTTAAAATGTGTAATGAGGCAGATAAAATATAATTAAGGAAGAAAATATGTTTTTTTTTTAAATTTGCGGTTACTAACATAGGTGGGTACTATGAAACAACATGTTAGCGAGTTGGATCTATGGTAACCATAAAATGTCATGTCTCTTCAATTAATTTAGAATCTAATTAAGGTTTTATCCACTATATTAAGGTGAAATATTTATCTTTTAATGTGATGTGTACTCTATAATAGTTACTTATAGTTAATAAATACTTTAGAATTCTCGTTTATAGGCGATCAATCGATTTTTACGAGAATAGCGGTATTACAACATGTATATTTAACAATATGTCGGCATTTGTATTTTGATACGCTACACGCTCCGCTCGTCACAGAGCACGTAGTTCTCAAGAAGGCCCAGTTAGCCAGTATGCTCCAGTAGTGTGAGATGTAGCTCTGCGCGCGCTCGTACCGAGTGCATGCGCCCGAGTTGATCGTACGCGTCGGTAATAGTGCTTCGGATTTTCGTACGTTCCAAATTTGAATAGTGCACGAACATTATTTATAAGAAGGGACTTAAATATCGATGTATATTGCTTGGTTGACTTTTTAATAAATATTTTAGTGAAGTAGAACTTATAATATCGCGTGACTAAAAATATTATTTTGCAATGTCAAATTTGTTTCTTGTCATCTAAAAATTTTGTAAAAACTTACAAACTTTTGTTGAGGATGTAATTAAAATAAAATTAGAAACGCAATTTTAATGATATTTGTTAATTTTATATGACTGATATCAATATCATAAATTAATTAATAAATCAAACTTTGCATTGAATAGGCTTCGAAATTATTGAACTGATTAGAAAAATTGTTTTAATATTAGAATTTTATATTATCCTTGATGACCACAGGTGTAAGAATATTTTCAAAAACATTAGAGATTCATATGAAAACTTCGATACCCGTACGAAGCCGGGGCGGACAACCAGTAATGCTTATAATATTTTTTTTTACCGTGCAAAAGCCCCATACTTAACAAAACCTGTCCTGGGGCAGTTCATTTGAAGGCTTTTGTTGTGTATTATATTAGCTGTTCCAAAACAACTTCGCTCGTGGAAATCATAGCCGATCAAACAAAGTTAAAGACTTTAACCTCTTTATAATATATATAAGTATTGATGTCTTGTTATAAAAATAAAAAAAATATAAAAAGTCCTTTACCGTTTACGTGATATATGTACGATGATATACGTGATCCGCTTCGCTACATAAAGTATAATATCATCCTTGACATGTTAATAATAAAATTTAAAATACAATGATGTGTAACGGCCTCCATGCACGTGTCGATGTAGCGCCAATATCAAAACAATTGTTTATTGTTTGTCATACTATTGTGTTTCACAAACTTGACCTGGTGGTAAATGTAAGGCGTTAATGTCACGTCAGTACCCTCATACTGATCATTAATTGGGCCCGGATAAGTATATCCGGAAATTTAAAAGATATGGTTACGTCATTCACATTAAATGCAAATAAACATAGAATTAAGTTTTCCTCTTTTTAATATAGTATAGATAGAAACTAGAGCTTTAATAAATATTATCAGTGTTCGTCTTGTACATGTGTAGATGTTCCTAGGTACCTACCTAGATTGTAATATGATTGCACATAAAGTTGCTGAAACTGTTAATAAAGGTCGATACTCTATCATAACAAAGTTACTCTAAGTGTGCTAGATTATTGAACTTATGTAGGATTTAAAAATATTTTTTAGTTTATATAGCCATAATCTTAAGGAAGGTTTAAAATTATATAACATAATACTGAAGAGTCAAGTGATATAAAGTAATAACACGGGGTTAAGTTAGAATAATTATAAATTAAATATTTTATTTATACCAGTGTAAGAGCTGTAATCACCAGACTATTGATTTCTCCACTGCAATAGCATACTTTTAATTATACAAATTAAGCAGTTAGACAAAGTGCCCTATGATGTCTATTTAATGAATTCAATCAAAGCTACTAAGCTCCAGCTACAACCTTTCGTACCCGCCACTTATATCATAATCTTTATACCACTTATATTCTCTAAGTCAAATTAGCGTCCATTCGTATCAGTCTATGCAAATTAAGATTATATTAACAACAGTTTTATAGATGCAATCTGTATGCATTGCATATTTTGTAGTAGTCACTTTCTACATAAATCGACAGTAATAATTGTAAAAAGCCTCATTTAGTCAACGTATTTGTTTCAAATTGAACGCTTCAATTTGGGGTTTATTTTTTTTTCATACGAGATGAATCACGGCACGACGTTCAACGCGTAACGAGAAATCGTAATTTTAAAAATGTAGTCAAAATTAACATATTTAACTCTCAAAGAAAGTGAGAGGAAACAGACTAAGACAACGGATTAGTAATTCTCTTAACTTTTCCCATTGAATTTATTGAAAGCACATATTTATTTATTTACAACTTAAAGTTATTTTGTTAATTTCAATATATATTTTAAAAAATTGCATTACTTACGTTTATTAATATTTTTTATTTTTTCTAAAACTGTGTTAATATTTGGTTACTATCTGACCTGATGGTAAGTAAGATGTGGCCTAAGATGGTATATGCCAGGAAGTGCCTATTCAAAAGGAACAGGTTCTTGTAAAAAGCTTAGTACGCAGAAGGGATGTCGATTGCGGTGGTAGGGTTATCATCTTTGCTATTCAAAAATGAAGATCATATCAAAAGCCAAATTGATTTAGGAGTTACCACTGACACAGGGAATGACAGGGCGAGCGAGTTTAAAATTTTGCTTGTTTCAAATTTTAAGTAGAATCTGTTTCCTTGTTTCGGACAGTTTTATTAATAAATATTAGCTGTTATTAAATATTCCCGTGACTTCGCCCACGAAATACGTCTCCTGTGTGTGGTGTAGCTTTACGTAGATGACAGAATTTTCATTATTCGATCAATATTTTCGAAGATTATCCTTTACAAACAAACGAAAGTTTTCGGTGATTCTCAAAGTATAATAAAGATTTCAGTCATAAATTATATATATACATTTATAATTCTATATCATATACGGTCACTTGCACAAACGTCCAGTAAGGTTTAATTACAACTTTAAGCTCTAAGTAATGATCTGAATTTGAAGATTTATTATGTAACTTTAAACTAATGGAAATTTTAATGGACATTTGTTGAACTGGGTGATGGCGCGTTAGCTTTTGATATTGATTTATATATAATTATTTAATGGATGGATTATTAGATTAGATTCAATAACATACTGCCTGTTTAAGTGAAAATTAATGTCACTTTCATATTAATTTGAAGTTTCGGTGTCATTTACAACTTTAGTTAAAATTTAACTTGTTTTATTTTTAAATAGAATTAGCAAAACGGATTTTAACCAAACTTCTTATATAGTTTCGAAATACTACACAAACAACGCCTCAGAATCGATTTTCCTATTTATTCTTTAAGTTTTTGCAGCTAACAAACAGCGTAAAAATGTCGAATAGTTAATCGTGCGTGTTCATATACGACGCATCGCCACACTCCAGTTATGCTTAATCTATCGGATTAACTGTCAACGGAAGATGAAAAACAACTATTTGAAGAGAGCTACAATTCGGTTAGCAATATTTGCCATATAAAGGGAAAATCATCATAACTTATGCAGCTTTCGCTTTGTAAATGTGATAATTTTTTAATAAGGTAGATTAGTAAATATATTCTTAATTATTTAACAGCTATCTGTACCATGCAAGCTTTATATGAAGCAAGCTCAAGCGATATTTTTGCTGACGGTCTTTCACAGTCATAGATACCTAATATTATTTAATTTGCAGTCTTTAGGACTATAAAAACTAATCTTAAAAAACTTTTAACGTACAACAAATGTAGCTATATAGTTGCCCTTAAAAATTCAATTAATATATTAGGCACAGATAATATATCTCCTAGTTTTGTTTCCACGTTAAAAAGTTTTACTATGAAATTCATGACAATAAAATACAGTTCCTAGTTTAAAAAGCTATATCAAACTCTTTTGTGATAAAAAAAAGTCAACACAAGCAATTTAACACTTCCAAATTCAAATCGACATTTTAAGTTCTAAAATCTGCAAGAGAACGAACGAACAAAATAAGGGCATCAAAAGTGCTATGTAAGAAAATAGTGACAACAAGATGGCGACGTGTCCCCGGCCGAGACCAGCCAGGTCTTCCTCGACCAGACTGAAATACTCTAAGACGGTGCCAGCTAGTATGATCAGGTAATAATTAAATTAAAATGTACTGTAGGGTTGGTGTAAATTTGACGGAACATTCGTTGAGTCTCAAGGAAGTAGAATTACTCATCGCCATTAATATAAAATCGAGGACTAAAGTTACTACTTTGTTTTAAACCATTGGCCGGCTGAAGTAAATTGATAACGACAGAAGAGAAAACGTCAAGTTGAGAGGTGTTTACTTATTTTGGGTGGATAATGTTTTAAACCTGGTACTAAAGTTAGGCCTCGTTTTATCATAAGACGGTTAGTATAAATTTGAAATGCCATTGAAATCATACGTTATAACTTTAGTTACTTTCCTAATAAATTAATTTTCCTTTATATGTACTATTATATTATGATATTAAATTATAAAAAGTTATTTTATTCTACATAATTCTTTAACAAAAATCTCATTTTAATTCTCAAAAAATATATCCTATTTTTAAAACAATTTATCACAAGCCATATAAAATCAACATTTGCTTTGGATAGTTTTTCAAACTTTCACCGGAATGTTACTAAATGAGTAATCCCAAACGTAATTGGTAACGAATTGAAGAGCGATGAGTTAACTAAACAATGATATCTATGAAATTAATCTCACGGAAATTTTGCGAATCTAAATTTGGAGATAATAATATAATACTTATTTATTTATGTTAAACGCCAATATCTTCTGAATTTAAGATGTAATTCTTGTTTCATTATTTATAATTCGGCAATTTCATTGTTGGGGATTTCTGTCATAATATATTTTATCTGTGACTCCTTTAACACGAATTCCTATTATTTATTTGATGTTTAACTTAGTTTAAATATATATAGATCTCTTTCACACAACCAATCGACCAGGCTGTCTTTTTGATGTATATTTTTGAGTATGCAATTTATTATTGTATGGTTTTTGATTTCTTGATAGAAAAGAAACTCTATGTCTAGGTATCTATGTTTGGTTTTCTATCAAGTTTGGCAGTAGTTACCTACTACTATAAAGCTAAGCTTCATCATAACTGAAATACAAAATGCAATAAAATATTATTTATACAAATGACATAATTATAATTAAAAATAATAATTACTCAGCTTTTGATAACAGAAAGACGTTAACAGGCCTTTTACAGACCAATATCAGAGTACATTAATTTCAATTTGTAACGGTTTCATAATAAATATTTTTAGAAATGACAGCTTCAGATCGTTTTAGTGATAAAATGTTTTTCGATGTTAGTTGTGCGGTGGTGGTGAAATATGTCGGCAATTAAACAGCTATTTACCTTGGTACTTTTTACTTATTAATTTGTTACATCAGTAAAACTTCACATTGTGACCCCATTCTTTTGAATCGCATAAGAAAGTTCTTGAGCAGATGTTATTGATAGATTGTTTTTAATATACACAATTATTTATATGTTATGCTTTTCTGATAATGCTCTCACAGATTTATATTATGAAACGCTACTATAGTTAGTTTGTTATTTTATAACATCTTAACAGTATTCTATTAAATTAGTACCTAAAATTTATCAGACGTAATTTTCAGCATCATCTATTGTCGATTAAAATAAACTAAATCCTGAGAGGCTTTTTATTTTGTAAGTTTTTATAATATTTTATTTTAGGCTGTTTGCTCACGTCTTACCCGCATAAATTATAGATTGTGTCACCTGTAGTGTAGCTTTTCGTAGATGTTTTATTTAATAAGTCTTGAATTTTCGGCGCCTATTCAATGCAAACAAAAGAAAATCTATATATATATATATATATATATATATATATATAGATTTTCTTTTGTTTGCATTGAATATATATATATATAAGAGCTCGATGGCGCAATGGTTTGGTCTGCGATGTGGAAGCTTAACAACTCTCGCAAGGCCTGGGTGACCAAAAATTAACTATCACGAGCTCGAGCAACGAGCCAAGATAGCACGTTGAGCCATCGATCCCAGCTGCATATACATTTTATAATCCTAAGTTTTAGTCAGCATATACCTGCGTGGTAAGTAAACTTGGCGCACTAGGCAAAACACTGGAACCTAGCACCCTAGGGAAAATGTTAGGACGACATCCATAAAACAAATTAGATCAAAATAAAACATACGGCGCCTTAGGCCTAGTTGCCTAGACTGCCTATATGGACGGCTCGACTTTGGTAAAGTCATCACTCATTCTCCTATTATAATTGCTCAAATTATTCGAGTTTGTCATCAGGTTTAGGTATGAGTTATATAAATACTTCTGTTCCTAGTCAGAAATCGTTAACAAAAACACGATGAGATCTATTTCCATGTGATTCATAATAAATTATTGAAGACATAACTTTTGTATTTCCTTTGTTGATACTGTTTTCAATGAATTATTGAGATGTTCAGTTAGTGCAGACGAATGCCTATACTGTTATTTTAAATGCATCGGGTATGAGCGCTCTTGCATTCACGCCATCTAGCGGAGCGTTCCGTTCTGAAACGCACGGCAGATTTATAATTATGGTCGGAGATGCGATACTAATAAAAAGTCTTATATAAATAAAACTAAATCGCTTCATATATTATTAACAAACTACGACGACGGAAAATAGAAAATATATTTATGGGGAAAAAATGTTATAAAAAGGAAAAAATGTGTGAAAAGTATATGTACATAGATTCTTCTATTCTAGATTATTTTAAGTTGATTATATAATGGTCATTTCATTAAATCCATTGATAATAAATCCATCCATCGGAGACCCATCGGAGTTAAATTTTTTCCCTTGCAAGAAGTTATCCAAATTTCTAAAAAAATGGTAATCTGTTGGAACAAGGTCCGGGAAGTACGGTGGATGTCTTAGACATTCTAATTGAAGCTCTTCTAATTTGGTAGGCATATGTTGTGCAGTGTGTGGTCTAGCGTTGTCGTGAAGTAGCAGTGGCGCAGACCGATTGATCAGCCTCGGTTTTTTAACAGCTAGTTTTTCCAGCATGGTTTGCAATTGCTGACAATAGACGTCTGCCGTAATCGTCCGGCCAGATTTTAGAAAACTGTAATGAACGACACCGACACTAGTCCACCAAATGCTTACAAGTAACTTTTTGGGGTCAATTTTCGCTTGGAGCAGGATTCGGCTGGCATGCCAGGTTCCAACCATTGCGATGAGTGCTTCCGATTATCGTAGAGAATCCACTTTTTTTGCTTTTTCATATTTCCAATTTGCTTCAAGTGGATTAAAACAGTTTTATCACTAACACCGCAGCCTGCAGCTAACTCGGACGTGGTTTGCGATGGATCCGCTTCCACATTAAACTTCAATTCTTCATTATTAACTTGGGTCTCCGGTCGTCTACGGGGCTTGTTCTGCAGGTCAAAATTTTCAGAAAGAAACGTTGGAAACAAAAACCCACAGTGTTTTTTTTTGCGACACAACCGCCATACACCTCATTAACCCTTCGAGCCGTTTCCGCAGCACTGGTACCACGGTGGAACTGAGTGACGTAAATAGGACAAACAGAAGAAAAGAAAATGGATGCCACCTAACGAAACACAAATACATGTGTAAATGGCTGTATAAATTTGAATTTGGAATTCCCAACCTAGGAGGAGAAATTTGTGATTAAAGTGGCCAGTACGATATAACGGCAAATTCATATGTAAGGACCTAATATAAGTAAAAGTCGAATTTTAATAACATTATTTGTAACAGGAATATCATTTATTTATAGATAATTTTATTTTATTTTTTAAATAATTTAATCTTAACTAATTAATCAAGTAATTACAAATACATAAACACTTTATCCAAATTAATCAATTAGGTAATAAGTTTAAAGTTAAATAATATTGATAAGGTTATATGATTCAGTACACACCAAACAAAGCCCATTATTATTCAAATAATGTATGAGACAAAACAAACTAATGACTTTAACTGCATTTTTTTGCAGCCTCTCGCTTGCCGTGTTGCATTACTTACAGCGCCATCTAGTGTCGAGTAGAAACGTTGGGAAAATAAACGAGGAAAAGTTTTAACATTGTTATGATGTTTTCTAACCGATGAGGCCGGTTATTAACTTCTAATGAAGTTTGTGACCTTGCACATTGTTTCTAGATTGTACTATTCCTAATACGTTGGAAGCTTGTCTTGACGCTTCTAAGAACGTGTCGTGATAGCTCTGAGAGGAAAAGTATTTATGAACTATGTAGAAAAAGTATGTGTTAAACTCTTTGTATACTTGAATAAAACTGGGTCTTGTTACTATAAGAATAAAGTTGGTTTCTGTATTGTTTCAATTAATATGGGACGAGCAATGTATGTGATGGTTTATGTGAAATAAAATATATATAAAGTATTCAAACACTCAGGTGTGTTTATAATAATCGCCGTCTTCAGAAAATAAATATTTTTTTTTGGTCGAATTTTCAAATATTAACTTTGCGGTACTGATAAATTAGAAGTAATGCAAAACATTTCTTAGCATATTTATTTGAATTATTTTATAGTGTTAAAGTTCTATTAGGAAATTCATACAAAGGTCGTGATACACTCTAATGAGTTACATGGTATAACCAGATATTCCATGCCATTATTTCTCAATAAGTATTTAAATAAAAGTGTCTCTATGTTCAATATATATCGATATAGTTAAACAATTTAGCAACATGTACTCCAAGTCAAAAGTATTCAGCGATTGGGAGCGAGCGATTACAGGATTTCTGATTAGTAATTAGATTTGTGTAATCAAAAGCTTTTGGAAGTAACTTTCAATCTACTTATAAATGTAATTGTTAACTCCTACGGGCTTGTACTGGACTTTTATATATGATTCTATCCTTTAACTCCGCTATAGAGATAGAGATGTGATGATATAGGCTTTTCGTATAAACTTTACCAGTTTTCCGCGAGCGGATTCGCTCGCGTGGTTCCTATAAAACTGTTTACCTGGACATCGATTCATAACTTGGCATAGATGTAATTACAAATACTTGAATAGTAAACAATGGTTTCTATGGTAACGTGGTAATTC